TTTTTTTTGGACAGCAAAGATAATTATATTACTTAGGTACAAGGGGTACCTTAAACCCATATACAGTATACTTAACAAACCTACATAAGTACCTTTTCGTTCCTAAGGGAGGTTAATAGGTAATTTACCTTTAAACTAGTATAAATTACCAATTAACCAAGGTTTACACTTTAATATTTATGAAGGAAAATTCCCCCCTAGCTTGCTGCAAACCCGCAGTACTTGTGCCCATGTTAATATAACAGATTTGCACTTGGCAAATGCATTTTATTTCACTTCCATCCTTTGGCCCCCATATAATCAACCACCCTTCACTTCTAGACTGAAGACATCACTATGTTGCCAAAGTGGTACTCTGACTTACTGTGTTTTGGCGTCCCAAATCTGCATTGTCAACTTCATTTCTTCAGAATTGTTTAATTCCTCACTAGCTCTGTTTTCCTCAAGAATACCACGAACCATATTTATTTCCATAACCCAAACTCTAATCATTGAATCTTTGTGGTTCACCTCCCCTTCTATTTCCTTTGGCTTGAATTAGTTGCATAATGACAGAAGACACGGACCCAGATTAGAAGCCCATTGGGAGAATGAATACTTGAAGTTTTTGTTATGGGCAGTGTAGGTGAGCAGAGTTTCAACCAACCACAAGTGAACTTTAAGTCCTATGTATAAGCAATTCAAGTAGGTGTGAAGGGTGTAAAGGGGGAAAATGGGTCTGGAGGCGTAAATTAACTACGCAACAAGACAAACGGAACGAAGTGTCCTTTATGGTGATAGAGGCTAATACACATTGGCTAAAAGATTGTTGGGTTGGAAAGATAAGGGATTTAACAATGTTTGAGAGATTAAAAGAGGCCTAATCATTACATGACTTGGCAACTGTTAAGGTCAAATATATGAGGGACGATATGGTGTTGATTTCTGGTGCTGATGAAGAGATGATGAACAATATGAATCAAAAGAACGATTTTTGGTCCTTTTTCCACTCAATCCAAAAATAGGAGCCTAGTTTTATTCCTGGAAACAAATTGGTTTGGGTTCGATGCATTGAGATTCTTGTTCATGTTTGGGATGAGTGTCGCCACCGGCCCGAAACGGGCTTTCGGCCTTCGCGAAGGATGGTTTGGACTCTTTTATTGTTTTGAAAAGTATGGATTGCTAGAATGACTTATTCTCAAATTGAGACCTCGTCAAACGAGCAATTTTATTAAAAGGCTCACCAATCCATGTTAATCCCAAGCGGGGCCCTCCATGGATTAGCGGTTTTCATAAAAAGGAAGGGTTCGTGGAGTCGCCACCAATGTTTTACTCAAAACATTGGAAAAAGGGATAAGGCAATTGATTTTATAAATCAACTTCGGCCATTACAACCAGAGTTGGGTAAGGGAGTCGGTTACGCGTGGGGAAGGTGTTAGCACCCCACAACGCCCCTTTCGGGTTCCCTATGACAGATTATTTCTAAAAATAATAGTACAAAATTACTAAATTACCCCTATTTATTCTAA